AAGATGGGTGCGAACAAGTTTGACTTCAGTGGGCGGACTCTCATTTGGGGCGAACCTCTAGATGCCTTTTTTGTCAATTTGTGTTCTTTTATCTGTATTCTAGCAGAGGCATACAGTTAAAAATATCGATTGTGTATTGGTGTTAAAATTGTTTGTTTTAATTAGGAATGCCTGACCTAGTGTTGCCTCTGCCCCTGACATCTGAGAATTATAAACAGGTCGCGAGATTTTGTCAAAGCAAAGTCTGTGGGGACAGGTAAATCATAAATTTACGTCCTACTTAATTGTTAAAGAGAATCTCGTTTGACTTTGGAAGACAATTTCTTCCCCAAGGAATCAAATGTGGACATGCAATAAATGAGAAAAAGCCTCTACCAAAGTGGGTGGTGAAACAAGAAAATTTTCTCGCTCTCCCTCAATCCCCCTCGTGCATCACGGCATGTAACCCACATAACCAATCCCTCAAACCCACAGTATATCAAAGGCTATTTGTACTGATAACTGTTAACAACTTATTGTATGAAGGTGTGAGGCTTTCATGGTCAATGTGGAAGCTCGTATGGCCTTTTTGTCGGGAACGGTTTGTCAGTGAGTACGACTTGCCTATCCCTTCACACCAGTATTTCCCCTTGATCGTTGATCAAGGATTCAGGGTTGTGCAGTTCAGTGTTTGATTCAGTTCTCTCTTGTTACTGTAGGATCTCAGCAATAGATTGTGGGGAGCACGCTGCCTCGTGGGTGTCAACATTTTTGAACAGAAACTGTCGACTCATTCAACAAGACATGGATGATAGCCGGACTTGTAAACTGGGAGGTTAATATTGACAAACTCACGGATTCTCAACTTTCCGTAGTAGTATTGTACTATTATGCTTATTTTGTGGTATTCTTGTGATTCCTTTAGCACACTTTGAATCTTTGGCGACAAGTGATGACGTAGCTAGGCGTGGAAATAAGACTCTCTAAACATACTAGGAGTCATCATTGACTCGAACCTGACCTTTGCTAAGACAAACGCTTTGCTAAGGTCTGCTTAGAATTAGACGTTTTATTCCAATGCATGTAATGATTCAATTATATAGGGCTTTTATTCTTCCTTATCTTGAGTATTGTGGCCCAATACTTATTGGAATAACTAAATCTTTATCTGATAAATTAGAATATGCAAATTACTATATTCTCAGAACGTTACTGGGTTTACCTAAGTCCACTTTGTATGGTAGTATTCTTAGATTAATTAACAGGCGTACACTAGAACAAAGGAGGTTTTCTCATGTTTCGATCCTACTTTTCAAAAGTTTCAATGGAATGGCCCTAGTTACATTAAAGACATCTTTAAACTTCGTACAGTCAATTATTATCTTAGAGGCTCAGACACTAAGCTTGAGCAAAGTAGCACGTTAATTCCTTTGCATCCATAGCCAGCCACATTTGGAATACTTTAGCACGCACTGCGAGAATTACTGGTAATGTGAATACTTTTAGAAGTATAATAAGATTAAACCTTGTACCATAATAAGAATTTGTTGTTGTGCCCTGCACATGATTATTTATAGTCTTTTATACTTGTGTAATGTTCTTTATTTTCAGTATTTTGTAATTGCACGTGCGCATTGTAAACGAGTATGCTAAATGCTCCTAAGCGTTAGGTGGATAAGTAAACTATCTTATCCATCTTATCTTATTTCCCAAACTGATTATTCCTTTTTGTGATAGAAGTAAAACAACGAGGTGACAAGGGAAGCAAGTCTCTTTCTCTTGCTAATGAATCGCAGTTCCTCCTGGTAACCCGGGAAAGTGTCAGTGAACTTCTGAACAGTGTTAATCAAGAACAACCTTTAACTTCATCTTCTTTAGTTACTGAGGTGAGTTTTGCATGCTACTAAACTGTTGTAACAAATGGTGTCAATAGCTATCAATGGTAACGTAACTAGACTCCTTGTTTGCTGCGCTTGTGGCGTAAATGATTCCTGTTAAGAAACAGTGAACTGCTTGTCGAATTGGACGAGACTGCATCTAGTCGTAAATTCTGAAGTTACTCGAAATGTTTACTTTGTGGACGAGCTCAGAGAAGTAAATGAAAAGTTGTAGGAGACCACAGTTAACTATTAACAACGTCTTACTACTTGGAACTTATCTTCCTCTCCTGTTTTTTGACTTGACTGTACCTCTGAGACAACCAAACTGCTGGTTGTGCGGCATTTTGGCGAGGTGTGTGTTTCAGTCGCTTTTTTCCTACATTTTGGGGTGATTAGTTACTTACTGCAGAAAATTTGAACCGAGGAGTAACATTTGATTGTGCACTCTGATCGTCCGGGTAGTAGTCAGGACTGATGTTTCTACAACCTGAGCGGAAGTCGTCAAAGTTAAGGATACAGTAGACCTTTGGGGGCGTCCTTCAGAAAAAAATTATTTTACGCGCTATTAGAACCATAACCACTATAAACTATAAACGAATGGTAAGGTTATGAAATGCACTATTGATTTTCAACTTAACGCTACACAATTTTCTATAGCCATATAGTCAACTAAACAACGATCATAGCGAGGAATTCTTGTGATCTACTGCGCGGCCGGGTTTCGAACACCCAAGAAGTTTGTACGTTTTTCGCTTCTAACAGACCACCAAGAAATGTTTAGAAGAATTCTTATGCCTCGAAATATTTCTTGTCTATTTTCCAGGAGACAAGTGATCCACAGGCGTGTTTGGACAAATTTTTAAACATTTAATGATTTCATGTTTGTAATTAATCTTTCTGAGAAAAAACTTTATATGCATCTATCGTTCTCTTCTTTTAAAATAAGTTATTTACATGGTCTACTTTCATCGGAGCTTGTCCATTAAATTTTCATTTTCGGTTTTAACCAAAGGTAGCACGGTTAAATCATTTTAAAACCAATATTTGAATTATAGGGGTAAACATCCCTTTCACCGCGGCTGGTCTCTTGCTAGTCTCCCTCGCAGCCGTTTTTTTTTTGGATGTCACGCAACGCCCCTCCAAAAAAAACGGCTGCGAGGAAGACTAGTCTCTTGCGTGATCATTGCGGGCATAATCATAACGTGATGCGCAGCTCGAGTGCGCAGTGGCGATCAGGCACCGTCCATAATCGCAGATCGAGTCTTGTGCCGCAGACGTCTCAAGAAACAGATCTTCGTGTCCATCTCAAACTAACAATTATTAAATAATTTTAATAGATCAGCAAAGTTGAAATGGTAAATTGGCCACCGTTACGATTAGAAAAGCTGACATTTCGAGCGTTAGCCCTTCGTCGGAGCGAATAGAGGAATTGTGGGTTGCGTGTGCTTTTAAAGGCAGAAAATGAAGCTACGTTATTGGTGGGAACATGGCAACGAGAAAAACATGAATAAATTAGTGGAATGAAAAGCGTTCGTTGATACCTGTGAGATTTTGACTGCCGATTTGAAAGATGAGCTTTTGTTCAAGAGCTTGGAATGGATTGTCTTTCACTGTCTCTTATTCTCTCTGTTATCTTGCAGCTCCATGTGGAAACACTGGCCAAAAGGTTCAGAGCTAATTTAATTGTTGCTGGTGGAGAGGCGTTCGAAGAAGACTATTGGAAAACTGTGAAAATTGGACATTTGGTTTTTGAGGTGGAAGAATTTCTATGGTTATGGTTGTTTGCTAGTTTTGAGCGAGTTATTCTTTTATATCTCGGTCGTACTAGCACCATTTCTAACTCGGATTGTTTAGCATAGAACTGCCAAATTACCGCCTGCTTAAACAACTAAAACAAAGAAACAAATATTTGGGAGTCCTCTATTTAAAAAAGATGAGATATATTTGCTGAAAAGAGGAATAATCGTGTATGTTAAATTTCCAAGTGGTTGTTAGTTATGACTTACTGTTGTTTATTTCTAATTGTTGTACTCCTCAGAGCAAAGGAAAGTGTAGTCGGTGCCAAATGGTGTGTGTTGACCAAGAAACTGGAGTCAGGAGTGTTCAACCGATGAAAACTCTTGGGAAAATGCGAGGATCAAAGGTATGTTTTAAGGAAAAAATCTTTGACGCGGATTGCTTCATGTACTCGTAATCACATAGCAAATTTCAACAACTCCCCCGCATGCTCCCTGAATTTGACTCAAATCAGTCTCGTTACCATTACCAATGGGCTTTCGGTAGCCACGATTTCGTTCTAGAAAGTCTCAATAACAGATTTTCACCCATTTAGTGCCAAAAAAAGTGGCGTTGACTGTTGTATGTGATGTTTTCCATCGATATAATGATGATCAGGTTGTTGACGCCTAACTCGATGTTATCGTTATTGATGAATGTGGGCCTTCTTATAAGAATGACGTTAGTGTGTTTCGTTATTCCCTATTTTTCAGATGCCTTTTGGAGTTCACTTGGAACATGTGACTAAAGAACATCGAAATCCAGTCATCCTTCACTGCGGAGATTTGGTTACTGTTAGCCTTTAGCTCTTGTTAGCAACAACCGATTGACACTTAGAATAGATCAAGCGTTGGTGAGATGATAAGAAGTCGTCGATTCGCTTTTTTAATTAAATTTTCGGGATTATTATTCGCCGAGAATGCTATTGTTTTTTGGACATGTACTTCCAGAGTCGAATTGCAGTAACGCCCACGCCCAGCGCAGTAATTTGCATTTCTAAAAGTGGTCTGCCGCGATTGGTTTGAGTTAGCTTAGGGACTTTCCGAGAAGAGTAACAGCATAACATTTTCTCGGCGGAAACAACGGCCGGCTAATGAAACATTCCAATGTACCAGCTGGTAAACAAATCGTATACGGTTAAAGAAATTCAACAAGAACAAAAGCAACAATGACACCAACAACAACATTAAAACTATTAGTCGAGAAAAGTCAAGCCAGAAACGTTTCCCATAATTGACGCAGTCTGTGCCGTCAATATTTTATCCTTGTGGTCTCCAGGCCAGCACAGGCGGATATGAGTGAAACTGCTGAAATGTTATTATTGCTGGCAGAAACCTTTCCGATAAATAAGCGAGAGTCGTAAGCCTTACGCACATAAACGATTGTGAAATCTGATTATCGCGGCTTGTGTATTAACAACACGAACCACGAAATTTCAGGGCTGTAAAATGATATTAACAACAAAATCAACAAGAGCAATTTTACTGATAAAATGTTTTTTAGAAGTAACAATACTGACATTATTGCATAAGTATACTTGCAATATCCGTTAGTGTTCAAGTATGACACTCATTTGTTTATGACCAATGAAAGTCTCTTCCTACCTCTTTATAAAACTCCTCATTGTATGGCCGGAAGTAGTTTTCTAAAAGTTTGCGAATGTCATTTCTAACATAAGGGTGACGCCTCCCTTTAGCCTCAGATAAACACCCTGAATTCCCTTTTTTCACCTTGAAAGACGTACTTACACAAGGAAAACGTTTGGTTTGGTTTATGTAGAAGTTGTCCTTCTTAATTAGGGGTTCGATGTTAAGAAATTTCTCCACAGTTTGCAGTTCCTTGGCTGGGTTACTAATCAATTCATCTCCGTTGACGAAGTGAAACTGTGAGATAGGGAAGTATTTTAACCAATTTCGTAAATGTTTCACGTAAACACCAATTCTTAATAAACCGATTGAAGTTCTCAGAGCCTTTTCTGTTTTATCTTTCGTTATATATTTCTCAAACGGCGGTAGAACGCCATGCCTTCTTTGTGTAACCTGCACATAATCCGAAATTGCCCTATCGACGGGGTTACGTACTATCACAATGAGTTTGACGGTCTTTGACATCTCATAAACCCTTTGAGGAACCTTATCCCTCACAAAATAAGCTGGTGTTTTCTCAATAGTGATGTCATCTGAATGTGATTCTGGCATTTGTTCCCGATACCAGTCCAGTCCCAACTGGTAATTCTTATCGGTGTCAAAGAAATGCACTTCCCACGGGCACGCCTTAATCCTTGGATGGATCCTTAGAAACTCCAACAAAGCTCTTGTACCTCCTTTCTTGACGCCTATGATTATAGCATTTGGAAGACGTTTTTGCACAATATGTTCGTTACTTTCTTTGGAGACGAGTTCATTCCATTTTTCTGTAGTCTTTCCTGCTGCACTTGAAGACCAAAGTCCAACGGGGTTATCAAATTCCCATGACAAGGAATTGTTTATATCACTGTCTCCTTCTAATAACTCGTCTCCACCTTTGGAACCTCTGCTTGCAAACAGCGTTTTAGGTTCCTTCAATAAAATACTGTACAAACAACACAAAAACAGTCCTATGAGAGGGAGGCAGATGCAGACCTTTTTCCCGTCTAAAATCACTGCCATGCGATTCTTCCACCCAGTTTTCAGGTTAGCTTGTACTGATGGCGTACCTGAAAAGAAGGAATCGGTGAAATTTAGTCGACAGAAGACGATAACCTCTTTTTATTTTATCATAAGTGGCACTAGCTAAGGACTCAAGAGCAGTGCCAACTTACTGTATGTACTGTACGAAATTTAACAAATACAACTAACTCAAAATAATGAATCAACATTTCGCGACCGTTTGATATGTCATATTCTTTCTTTGTTTTAACCACCACTTGCAGGTAACTTAAACAAGATAAAAATTAAGGCTGGGCTTTTGTTCCATCTTAGTTTCCCTCGTGTGACAAAGAAGGATGGGCCTATGAACCGCTTCATCCTGAAACTTGGGGCTGTGAAAGCGAAGTAGAACAAATCTGTCTTGTTTTCTCGAGCGTTCGACTTTTCTATGTAGTTCATCGTTGTCCCACATACACACTGCTGCTCTTCAAACTGGAACTGTGACACTCTCCTTGAATGTAGTAGACATTTATATTTATACAGAATAGCCCCCATCCTCGGAGACCCAGGGGCTGTGAGTCGATTTCAAGTTAAGGGCAGAAGAGCCCCTAAGGGACATTGTCTTACAAGACTAGTTCCAAACGGTCGCACTCGTTCTGGCATCTGATTGGTGCCAGAAAATCTTTGTGTTTTTCTGCCCAATCAGAGTGAAATGAGGTTTNCGTGTTAAAACACACGAAAGGACTCTAAAGGACACTTCACTCTGATTGGGCAAAAAAACACAAAGATTTCCTGGCACCAATCAGATGCCAGAACGAGTGCGACCGAGGGGCTCCTCTGCCCTTAATTTGAAATCGACTCAACGCCCCTGGGTCTCCGAGGATGGTTAGCCCCTTCAGTGTAGTAAACACTGGTATCAACAGGGGTCCTGTTATCCACCCATCCCACCCCAGGGGAGGACATCCATCACACAGTAATCTCGTGCGTGGGAAATTCCAGAACTTTCTAACCGGTCGATCGTAAAGCGTCGTATCGCGCGGAAATTTATTGTTCTGGGCTCATGCAAAAAGGGTGTATCTCCTGGAAAAATTTTGGGCCTTTTCGGTTTAATGTTTGTGCTGGAGCTTCTTTCACTTGTCAAATTATGGGCAGATGACACTACGCTTACGGACAGCGAACCAAAGTTTCTGACGGTACAAACCCACAACTAGCGGATTTGTGATACGGACAAACGTAAAACAATGCGTTTTGGCATTCGATGCCGTTTAAAATTTAAACCATTCCTCCATTTCTCCCTCTAAAGGGTATCACATTGAAATGACCTTGTTTTCTTAACGCATTTTAAGGAAAATGTTCATTTGCCTCTATTCGAGGTCTTGGAAAAAAAAGTCGACCCAAGGATCGAAGTTTTCAATATCTGATGCAACTTTCCTGAAAGAACAATCCTTGTATGTAGTCTCTGATTTACATTTCAACGAAATCAGATCTCCTCTTCCTTTAGCCATTCTTCTCTTTATCATTTACTTTTTACTTTTGTCTTGAGTTTTTTTTAATGGACCCACGTACATATACCCCTTGACAAAGCATTCTTTGTATCTGTGCGTTTTATTAACTTTATTTTCACCGAATTGTGATAATATCCATACAAAACAAGCATGAAATAATGCATCCACTGACTTCGTCGATAAAATTTAATCAAGTATCGAAAATAAACGAAACTGATAGTTTTCCTGAGTAGGATGATGCAAAACAAAAGAAGCAAAGAGCAAAATGCCAAATAGGATATTTAATTAAAAATTAGCGGCTTACCTCATTTTCCCTTGGACAGCGCTAAACCCTCGTTGTTGATTTTCTTTTTCAACTTAAACATTCTCATTCGTCACACTTTGTTTTTGATCTAACCACATAAATTTTGAGAAGCAACATCAAACTTTAGGAGTGAATATATTCGATATTTAACATGGAATTGAAATTTCTGCGCGAAAGGAAAGATTGTTATTGAGGAATAAATTTGATTTTATAATCTTTGGTTAAAGGAGGAACAAGCTGCCTATGATTAAAAAGCTGTGGTAAACCTTCGTCAGCAATACATCACGCATAAAGAAATCGCTCCTAAACACGAAAGGTTTTCATTTAAAAGACCCAATCATCAGAGTTGTTTATGATTCTACTTAACTCAATGGATGAAAATAATAATAATCCGTCTGAAGAAACCAACTAGGAATTCATTACTAATCTATACCATGTAGCAGATGGAAAACCTTGGATACACTTTCTGGGGAAAAGAAATTGAAAACTTAGATGTAGTGCGTAACTTGACACAGCACGATTTGCCAAAACTAAAGTAATTTGAGAACTAAAAACCACTTCCATTTGGGATTGAGAACATTTAAATTACATTTAGTTTTCCTTCTATGTCTCCAGAAATTTGCCCAAACACAGCTCATGTAATTCCTTTTCAGAAATTTTTTCTATCACATGTAGTAGAATTAACATGATGTTTCGGAGCTAACAGGAAAGTGGGAACGATGCTCGGTGCGGGTAATAAATAAGACAACACGCGACCTCGAGAATCGTTGACCAACTAAATGATCTTTCGCGCACGAAAATGTCTTAGTAAATATGTGAACTGTGACGGGTCTATTTTAGAATAACAATTGTGTACAAAAGCACTTCTTCAATCTTAGTTTATGGCCGCTTTAAACTAAAACAGAATAGTATTCGTTTCCGAAACATCAAAATGGCTCTCAAACATGCAGGCGCATAACAAAATAACTCTATGTTCTAGGTCACTCACTCCTGTCGGTGCAAATTGAGGTTGGATGGTCAGTAACCATGCCATTTTAGGGAGTAATGGAACATAAATATGTTGAAGAACAGCGAGAAAGCGGTTGAGATCAATACGTTCGAGTTATAGATTATCCTGAAAAGCACTAAATTCATGCTGCATACATCATTCTTATGTAAGAATCAACCACATGACAAGGGGAAAAATGGACAACATTCTTCCTTCATTTTTTGTAACAGAAACTAGACCCTTACCGTTTCAAATTTGTGAATTTTTCCAACAGGCTTTTGCAAGGTATATCCGGTTGTCTGTTCTCAAGTCGTATTTCGTCGTAGAATCCTTCTCCTCGGAAGAACCTGACACTACGAGTTACACCAGATAATACGTGACGCATGAATAAATCATATCTCATTACATCCATTCCTGTGGTGTTTTTGCAAAACATGGAATCAATTGCGTCGCTTGGAGTGTTTTTCTGTCCCAAGCTCCCTGCAGCCTCACCGATGAACACCCTAAGCACACACAAAACGGATAGAGAGGCAGATTCTCTAAATACTATTTTTATTCTGAATTTTATAGATTAAAAGTATCATGGAGGCATACTGTTCGTAATCTCCGTGTAAGTCTTCAAGATCTGGTGTAATCCCCATAGTCACCCCCTGGTGGTTTCTTCCGGACCTAACACTCCAGCCCTGAATCTTCTGCTGCGATGTAGTATCGAGTTGCTAGTCACAAACCTTTGCAACCTGCTCTGATGCCACAGTGCACAAGACTCGCGCCGATCAACTCTCGCTGAACTTAGTTTTATAAAATAGTCAGTGAAAGACGTTCGGCAATAAAAAAGAGGCGTGGTAGTGAATGGAGTAATAATAGCAGAGAAGTGAAAGAGGAGGAAAAGGAGTCAAGGAAGCTTGGGTTGGGTCGCCAAGGTCCACAGGGATTCACCTCCGGAGATAATAACTTAAATATTTACTCGGGCTTTACGAAGGAAACGCCCGAGGTATAAATTTATGAGGGGTCATCTCCGCCAATATCCTGTTTCAAACTCTGTTCTAAAAAACCTGTATGCTATTGCTTTTTATCAAATTCTTTTCAGAA